GAGAACCAAATGGAACATGAAAACGAGAACCAAATGGAACATGAAAACGAGAACCAAATGGAACATGAAAACGAGAACCAAATGGAACATGAAAACGAGAATCAAACGGAACATGAAAACGAGAACCAATTGGAACATGAAAACGAGAACCAATTGGAATATGAAAATGAGAACCAATTGGAAGATGAAAACGAGAACCAATTGGAAGATGAAAAGGAGAATCAATTGGAACATGGAAAGGAGAATCAATTGGAACATGGAAAGGAGAATCAATTGGAACATGGAAAGGAGAACCAATTGGAACATGGAAAGGAAAATCAATTTCATGTGCTACCAATGCCAAACCTAGAATCAGAGAAACCACAACAACCAACAGAACCTCCTTTTCATACTGATATTAGACTACAAGACCAAAAATTATTCGATGAACAAGGAAAAGAACAAGAAGGAAATGACGAACAAAAATATGAAGATGAAGTAATAATAATAATAGATTTTTTTACTAACTAAATAATTAATAATTAATATATAAAATATATTTGTATAATTGAATAGAGATGTGAAGAAAAAGAAACTTGTTATTTGAGTTCAGAATCGACTCCTCATGCAAGCCCGGTTAAATGCTATACACCAACGACAATAAAGCAGTCTAACAAAAGACCTATCAAATCAGCTTCTCCATTTTTGGGTGAAAAACGTCGCAGATATGAACAGGTGTTGCAAGATTCTTCTTTGGTTAATTTGGATCTCGAAGTGCCATTAAAATACAAATTAGAGTTATATGATAAGAAGCATACTCAAAAACAATCACAACGTAATGATGATAATATTGATAATATTGATAATATCGATAGATCAACTGAATCTATTACGATTAATTCTTTAAATCTCATTACTTCAAATGATCAATTAACAGCAATGGATTCAACAAAAGTCAATCTTACTGACCTTACAATAAAATTCATATCTGAAAAGATCAACGAAAATAATAATAATGCTGATGAATTGAATTAAAATAGAGTAAATTTCATTTTAGGAATTATGAAATGATGGTCTGAGTGACTCGATTAAAATTATGCATAATCCTAATTCTTCTCTTCCAAACAAAGTTTATATATATCACTTGAAGTATTTATAAATTGAATAAATAATAAAATATAATCATTTTCTAGAAAAAGAAAAACTTGAATGATATCTTTATTAATGAACTTAAAGATTTTACAAAAAAACTAAATAAATACAATTTCCATGATTCAATAATAAAATAAAATAACAGCCTTTTTGTGCACAAATGATTAAGTAAATGTCAATCCCTTTTTTGTTGCAAAAAAAATTTTTAAATTTTTTTAATTTTAAATTTTTAGTTTAATAATTGTTATATCAATAAATAAAAATAAAATAAAATAATAATGTCAAAAAGACTCTTTACAAGACTTTCTATTGATATAGGTCAATTACTTGACTTTAATAACAATTACGATGTCATTATTACTGTTGGTGAAGAGCTAAAAAATACCAAAGACTTTCATGCTCATTCGTTGATTCTTGGTGCCAGATCTTCATACTTTCGTTCTGCATTCTCTAACAATTGGACAACTAGAAAAGAAAACGGTTTTATTCACTTTAAAAAACCAAATATATCACCAAAAGTTTTTCAAGTTATTTTAAAGTAAGTTTTTTTATATCAAATACACTCTAAAATTTCCCCAATTTATCCACCCACACACACTCGTTCATTTATTTTATAATCAATTAATCATATAATCAGTTACTAATATATTTGGAAAAAAAATCATAAAAAATTATAAAAAAAAGATACATATATTCTGGTGTGGTTGACTTTGAGAATCATCAATTATCTGACATTTTAGAAATATTAATAGCAGCTGATGAATTGATTTTGGATGAATTGACTGAACATATACAAATCTATTTGATGGAAGAAACGTTTTGGTTACCCGAAAACATTGTACAAGTTATTCAAACTGTCTTCCCTTTTGAGACTTGCAAAAATTTACAAAATTATTGTACAGAGATAATTTGTCACAATCCAACAATCATATTCGAATCTGATGATTTTTACAAAATGGATAAGCAAATACTTGTCAACCTATTAAAACGTAACGATTTCGCTATTGGTGAACATGTTCTTTGGGATCATTTAATCAAATGGGGTCTATCACAAATTTCCATATCGTTAGATGATGATGATGATGATGGTGATGTTTCTGATGTAACAAAATGGAAAAAAGATGAATTCAAAATGTTGGAAGATGTTTTACAAGATTGTATACCAGAAATAAGATTTTCTCAAATGACCTCTGAGGAATTTTACAAATCAGTATATCCATACAGAAAAATTCTACCCAAGAACTTAAAACATGATTTAATTTGTTCTTACCTATCCAAAAATCATATATCTGAATCTTTATCAATTATACCTGCAAGGGAAAAAAACATAGATCTCTTATTTATTTCCCCACCGCAAGCTTCTTTAATAGAAAGTTGGATTAATTGCACCACTATCGACCATATATCATTAACCATTTCAACCACAAAATTACAATATCGATGGAATCTATTATACCAAGGATCAAGAGACGGTTTTTCGCCCGTAGTTTTCCATGAAAAATGTGACAATCAAGGACGTTGTGTTGTGATAACAAAAATTCGTAATTCTACCACCATAATAGGTGGCTATAATCCCATCGGATGGTACAGTAGTTATGGATATTACGAGGAGACACAAGATAGTTTTATTTGCTTATTCAAGAATTTTTACGATCTGAAAAATTATAAACTGAGTAGAGTCATATCACCTGAAAATGCTATCTTTCAACAAAACGAATTTGGTCCTGATTTTGGTGAACCGGACTTTTTATTGTTCGGTGAAAATAATGAAACTTATTGTACAACGGGTTGTGCATATGAAGAAGCAATTGATCTGGGACATTTTGAAGTTGATGATTATGTTGTTTATCAAATTGTTAGTAATAATGAAGAACTAGTCGAAGAAGAGAAGAATAATAATATTAAATAAATTTATTGATTGTTGATAAATCAGAATTTTGACGTGGATGATGTATATGAAATTAATGGATGAATAAAATAATAGTAATAATTAGGTAACAATTACAATTAGGTAATTAATTAATTATTAGTTAGTTGTATATTTAATTTATTTCTTTTTAATCTTTAAATTTTTCTGTCAATATATAATTTACTTTTTAATATTAGTAGGAGGAGAAGAAATATCATAATTTTTAATAACTGATACTATTTTTTTTAAATCAATTAATTATTTAATACTCAATTTTCTTTTTCGTTAACAACCCCAACACTATTTAAAACTAATTTTTTTAATTTAAATGCAACTTTTCTTTAATATTTTTACATGTAAATAATAATATATACATAAATTAGAATAATAAATTAACAAGTAAACCTTATTACACTAAATCAGGAAGATCCAAATCCTCCTTATAGCTAATTGTGGCTTCATAGAAAGTCATCATTGCTGCTGCTGCCACCAGCTAGACATATCCTGCCACAGTTCGAATGGCAGCAGAGAGGTCAGTAAGTCCCTCTTATAAATGGATTAGGTCTCTCTCCATAAGTGTTTGTGTGCAAAAAAATGTTCCTTATGTTACAGGCAGCATTAACATTTCGATTCCAATGTGTCAGACAGACTGATTTGCAGACTCTGACAGACCAGAATTTTTGATGCTTATCAAACCACCCATCACACAAAGAACAGACTGAGGAAGTACGGAACTCATCAATGTTCACCCGGTCGCGTTTACTTCGTCGCACCCATTTCGTCGAAAGTTTGTTTCATCGAATGTTCAGTCGAAAGTTCGTTTCATCGAATGTTCATTTCGTCGAAAATTATTTCATCCTCGAGCCAGAGACCGAACGAGTTAGATGTGAGGAGCGTGGGAAGTTAGTTAAGAAATTAGGTGAGGAAATCGGGGTGTGTGGGAAGTGTGAGGAGAAATTTGTTTAATTTTTGTGACGAAATAATTTTCGACGAAATGAACTTTCGATGAAACAAACTTTCGACGAAATGGGTGTCGACGAAATGACTGTCAACGAAATGAATCAGACCCGTATTTATCATATTAAGCTCTTCCTTTACATTTTATTCATATGTAAATAACAATAAAGCAACAATAATACACCAATTATATCAGAAGAAAAAATATTTAATAAATTTTCAAGGCTGTGTTATATTTTTTAATGCACCAGTAAAGAAGGATATTTTTTTCATTAAAATGCAAAAAAATTTTTTTGTTAAAAAAAAGCACTAGTAATTTATGAATAACTCTACAAAAATGTAACCATCTAGAATAGGTGGTTATAGGAACGATTCTTAGATGGTAGTGAGTGGTACAGGAAGAACAAGATCCATAAAAAAAACAATAAATCCAATAATTGTGGGATAATAATATATTATTTAAATATAATCACAACTATCTGAAGAATAGATATATACATACACATAGTAACAAATTTTATTGATATTAGGCTTTACTACTTAATAAATATCAAGTGATATATATATAGTTCACTCTCTATAATGGACCCATTTGGCTTACAAAAAAATGCCTGCAATGATTTATATATGGGTTATATAAATCGAGCTTAAACTCTTATTTCTTTATAGAGTAAGATCTATTATAGAGAGATCCATCGTAGAAAGATAGCAATAGAGAGAGATCCGTTATATAGGGAGTGAACTATAACTATGTGAGTTGAGAATTTGTGCCATCTGAAATTTTTCTTTTAATATTAAGAAGAAAAAAATTATTTAATTAGCTCACTGTCATCTAACAATTCACATGAAATAACTACTTTTGTCAATTGATGCAATTGAAGATAGTGAGAAGAGCATTTTAAGCGCATGTTGCATTTTTTCTATATTTGATTGGTTTCTTACAATGTTTTTTAGGAGGTAGTACAGGTGGTTTAATACCATGCTAATTAATCAATAAATATAATCAATAAGTAGTCAATAAATTATATATTAATTATTTCTAACAATAAAAAAAATTGTTTACTTTTTTAACCCTGTGTCGAGGTTCATATTTTTTAGCAAATTTAGCATTTTCGTATATTAATGCAAACCCATTAGAGCGATTTCCATCATATGTAGTTCTCATAGCAATACAAAGACAACATCTTTGTTGACTCCAAACATTTTAACAAATTTGGGTTCGAATTTCACTATTTGTTAAACTGGGTTCGTTGGGGTGTAAAACATCAATTACTAATTGTTTACGATGCATTGCAAGATTTTCTTTAAATCTTCTAATTCTAAAAGTGATCGAGTTATCTCTAATATTTTTAACCTTGTCAACCTCTTTAACCTTTTCAACTTCTATGTCCTTGTTAACCTTTTTACCCTTGTCAACCTTTCCATATGTTATATTTTAAATTTAGATAATGTATTAGACATTTAAAAACAAACAAATTAATTGTTGAAACCCTTTATATCAACAAACCTTTTTTTTTCATTTTGTTTTAAATTTGAAGAATAAAAAAAAAGGAGGTACGTGATGCGCGTACAAAACACCATTTGTATGGATGACACGAAAATTAAAATAGTCAAATAGAATCAGGTATAGTGCAGGACACCTAGTCCCTACAACTTTTATTAGCCTTGCAAATCCTTTAACTCCTCCAAAAATGGAAATGTGTGACCAAAAAAAACAAGATGACATTTTGAAGCTAAGACCTTTTTCTACAAAATGACATTTTCATTTTGTTGATATGCCATGTTTTTGTGGGGGAATTAAGCCTTAAAGTTGCACAATTTTAACAAATTTACTATGTTAATCCCCCAAAGTGACGTGTCACGCGCAAATTTTTTATATATATTATAAATGGAAGAATTGAAAAATTTGAAATCTGTATTGCAGATCTTTTATCACGTGATACTAATAAAAAGAATGCAACGTGACAAATCTATTTTTAAAGCACGTGACTGTAAAAATTTTATTGCATTTTTGATCGTGAATTTTTTCCCAAATCTGTCGCTGTGGCGCAGAAAGTTGTAGGGACTAGGTGTCGTGCACCATAACAGATATGTAACTCAATAAGTCAGTCATGTGTGGGTGAGCTCATATGACCGACTTATCGAATTAAATTAAAAAGAAAATGGGGTGAAAATTTTGGTCGACTTATCGTGTATTCAACTACAAGAGCCATTGCTAAAACCAAATCCTAAGATTTCCTATACAAGATAATATAGTAACTATATATATATATATATTAATTAATATAAAAAAAATTTTAATAACAAAAATATCTGTAATTTCGAAACAAAGAGAAATCCTCGTTGCATTACTTAATAGAACTAGTTGTGAAAGAGAAATTATGATTTATTTTTCTCAAGGCTATATTCTTTGAAACTATTAAAATAAAAGAAAACACAAAATCATTATGTAAATATTATAATAAAAGATTTGGGAAAAGACAACAGATAGTTAACTGAATTCGATAAAATAAATTCTCAAGAACTACAGGAGACAATTTCCACTATTAGCATAATGCTTTTTTATATACATGATTATTGATAAATATAATGATGATACTCAAAAAAAAAAGATAAGCTTCTCCTGAGATCTTAGCCGGCAGGATACCATAAAATGTGGTTTCTAGGTCTAATTCAAGAAATATTTAGTAACAAAAACAATAGTAGACTGTGTTTATGGGTACGAAAGGTTCGTTGATTTCTGAGGGATTAGTTTTGTATACAAAGCTTAGTCTTGGAAGTCTTAATCGAGTAGAAAGTGAAAGATTTGTTGACCACTATTAGCATAATGCTTTTTTATATACATGATTATTGATAAATATAATGATGATACTCAAAAAAAAAAGATAAGCTTCTCCTGAGATCTTAGCCGGCAGGATACCATAAAATGTGGTTTCTAGGTCTAATTCAAGAAATATTTAGTAACAAAAACAATAGTAGACTGTGTTTATGGGTACGAAAGGTTCGTTGATTTCTGAGGGATTAGTTTTGTATACAAAGCTTAGTCTTGGAAGTCTTAATCGAGTAGAAAGTGAAAGATTTGTTGATCTCAGAAGAACTTGACTGAAGAAATAAGAACATCATTTAAATACTTTTAAATCTGATTATTGGCTTTATTAATTTAACATACCATTTTTTAAAAAAGGATCCAGCATTCTAACATATTTTATTTATTTCATTTTATTAAAGAAACAAAACATCATGAGTCAATATTGATGGTCACACATTAGTATGTGGCTTTATTAAAAAATTTACTACCAAAGATAAAAGTATGATAATGTTTTGCGGGTTAATTTGTTTACAATAAATTATTAAAATAATTTATTGTATAATAACAGATTGGGTTCTAGTGATAACAAATCATATTAAATTTGGAAAAAGCAAACCAGATTATTATTTTTAGTCATGATACTCCATTTATATCTTTTAACTCAAAGACATAGAATGTTAATCCTAATTGTGTGATTATTGAATCACCTGATTTATGTAGAGCTTTCAGTGGTAATGTTGTATTCTTCTATTTCAAATGTCATTAAATAGAGAGCGAGTTAAGTAGGTTGTAGATTAATTTTGTGATATCTTATTATAGTATAGAGACAGATCCGAAGATAGTCTTGATAGTAGTCCCGATGATGATAATAATGACAATGATAAGGTATTAATACAGTTGACAAAGAATTTGACATAGATCGTTTTCACGAAAAGATTTCATATGTAACTACAATTTCTGTCCAAATTTTCAATTTTTAATATTATTTTTTTAATATACAATTTTAGATCCTGATATACAACAGAAAGCATTAGATATTCGCTTGAAGTATTAAATTGTGACAAAATTGATGAAGGAGAAGTCACAATGGTTGTCAATATAGTAATAGAAAATTACTATGTGTGGATTTTTTATGTTACACATTAATATATATCAAAGATTTAAAATGTAAAGTCTCAATAACAAACAAGCCGTGAATAATCTTTCTGCGATTGTATTTCCAAACACTCAATTAATAGCCCGTCAGAGAGTTTGCTTTATTTATATTAGTAAAAAATTATTTATAAAGGTTCAAAGTTATCAATTTTATTTATTTTACTGTAAAGGCTCAATCGATAATCAAACAAGCTATGTGAATAATCTTCCCGCGTAATTTTTTTTTATTGATTTTTCTTCTTGGTAAATTCCACAGGTAATCCTTTCTTTCCTTAGATAAGCTTCAAGTATCTGAACATCATTTATTTTGAAACATAAGGAGCAATCTTCTTTCCCCCTTGTTCTTTATTTAAAATATTTATAATTCTTGGTGGATCTGATGTAAATCAGTTTCATATTAATTATTTTTATATAAGAGTAGTTCTATATTCTATATATTATTTAAAGAATAAATAAAAGATAACAGATGAGAAAAATCATGTATTTTTCCGCAAAAATCATCCGCGATTTTGCGCAGCATCATGAAAATATACAATTTTATTGGTGGGTTGGGTGCGTGTTATCCATATTTAGAAATTGATTTGACAATTGTGGATGATTTTTGCAGAAAAATACATGATTATTATTATCAGATGAGGCATTAATTGTAAATCATAATCGTGCTATATTGGAAATCTTGAACCCTGAAATTTTTGGCAATACAAAATGCTCACTTTGTCTGATTTTGTTGCAGCATGCCTCAAATGCAACAATTGCTATATACTGTGAAGTTTGGAAAGATAGCACCCTAATTTAAAACAGCTGAAACACAATTGTAAAAAGGAGACGCTATCTTACCAGACTTTGCAGTAAGCTATGGTGCTGCGAGCGTGTAAATTCAATTACAGCTCGGGTTGTGTCCAATAAAATATATAAGATAAAATAAAATAAAAGTCCAA